ATTCTTTCCATTCTCTCCTCTCAGTGTTATCTCCCCATTTTCTCGCTCCTTATATTCTCTCCATTCACGCCACCCAATCCTGTCTCCATCCATACATCTTTCTATCACATGTTCCGCCGTTTCGGGCTCATCGTAGCCGCAGAAACAAGGCACTTCCGGGCCCAGGTTAAACCTGGCAAGGTATCCCGGAAAATTACCATGTCCCGTAAGCAGCTGGGTGGCCTTCCGCGACAGATTCAATGATTCACTCCCGACTGCCCTGCAGAATCTGTAGAACAGCCGCCCAGTCTCTCCCGTGTCCCATTCCCTCTGCCATTCTATCCTGATTTGTTCTTTAATCCTCTTCCTCTCTTCACTCTTACTCCCTATTCTCACTACTTCCCATGTAATCTCCGTTTTTCTCATTCCCTTTGTTGCTTCCTCGTGCGCTTTTCTATTACCAAGATTGTTGTTCTCATGGCCGCGCTTCCAGATTAAACAGGTCCATGCTCCTCTCACTTTCCTCTCCTCTATCATCCTCTGTATACGCGCTACCCTCTTATTCCTCGTTCTTCCTGCTTTCAAACGTTCCACAGCCATAGCAGAATCGCTTACCACAGTTACACTCTCATTCATATCCCACATACCTATCACTCTCTCGATCGCAACCAGTTCTGCCTCATTCACACTACTCTGTCCGAGGATTCTTTCGTTCCCCTGTACCCATTCATTTTCCTCCCGTTCGTATGCCCAGCCTATGCCCATTCGTTCGTCTTCCAATTTTGCCCCAGCATCCACATACACCCTTATCACCCTCTCGTCCTCCCTTTCCTCCAGCAACATTCCTTGCATCCATGGGAGTATTCTATCTTCTCCTTTCACTCTGTCCTTTCTCTTTCTTCTCCCATTCACCCTCCACTCATGGTGTCTCACACCAGATTTGCACTCTACCGTTTAAAAGCCTGTCTAACGTACGTCCCATTCCAGTCAGCAAGCTGATAGGTCTGGGATTTCCGTCCTTCTTAGGTATCCACACAACCTTTGCTTTTTTCCATACCTCCGGGAAGTACCCTCTATCCAGGCAGGCGTTGAATATTTTAACCAGGCAGTCTCCCTTCCAGTCGGTCACCTTACGGATGACTTCGTTAGGGACCCCATCTATTCCTGTCGCCTTTCTATCGGGCAGCTGCTCAACAACTGTGCGCAGCTCCCCGACCGAGAAGGACGGCTGCTTTTCTCCCCATTCTCCTATTGCTCCTTCCCTAATCCAGCGTCTGGCTGATGTGTTATTTGAGGGGTCGTCCTTATCTACTTATTCAGTAGATACCTACTGGTTTCTTCCTTCCCTTCGGTGTAGGTTCCGTCCCCTCTTACGACATTCGAGGGCACTTCTCCAACTTTATCATCGTTGAGGAGCCGGTAGACGCGGTCCCACGGATTTTCGTCCTGGAGCCGCTCCACCCTCTCCCTCAACCAGGCTATTCTTGCATTCCCTATCATTCTTTCATACCTATTTCTTGTCGTTCTATAGTCATTTATTCCTCTCATTCTTGCGTCTTCATCCCTTGTTCCCTGAGCTTCTCTCCTTTTCCTCCTTACTTGCTTTCTCATGGTCTCGAGCTCCCTGCTTCACCATTCTCTTTCCACATCAATTAACCCTCTCACACCTAGGTATAAACCTCATACAGGCTTCTTTCATTTTTCCTTGAAGCATTATTGCTTCCCGTTCAATATCCTCATTCGTATCTAGCCTTCCTGGGCAATAGTCGATTATGATGTTTTCGATACCTGCCCAGTTTGTGCCCCTTATTTTCATTACCTTAACTTTCCTCATCTTGGGAAACCCCGTCAGACTGAACTCAATCGTTCTATGGTCACTTAACCTTTTTTCCATGCATACTTTCCAATCATCCACCTGCGTGTTCCCACTTATAATCAAATCGACCCAGCTTTCACCCCTGTTGCTAGAGAAGGTAGCCGGAATTTCACTATCATTCTCTATGACGTATCCTTTTCCAGTCACCCATTCTAATATGTCCTCTCCCCGTTTGTCTGTGGTGTTTCCACCCCACGCCACATTCTTAGCATTCACGTCTCCTAACAATATCTTTTTCCCTTCCCATTCATCAAAGATTCTCCTCATCACATCCATCCTTGCTTTCCTTCTTCCTCCTGGTTCGTCATACACATTCATAATGCGTATCCTCTTTCTCTCTTGTCCTATCATTATGCCCACTCCATTCACACTCCTTGCATTCCTCAGAGCTAAGCTTTCAACGGAGGCACGAACCCAGGTTCGAACCTTCGATCCTTCCCCTCCGTCGTATTTCAGCCATCCCTCCCAAGATGGTTCTTTGACCCATGGCTCCTGGATACACACTACTGCGGTTCCTCGCTCTTCAGCGGTTTCCCTCGCTTTCAGCTTCCTTTCCCTTTCCGACGTTAATTTGAAGGAACCTGAACGTAATTGGTTCTCCTCCGTTAAAGCTTCACTCTTCTCATGTATACCGGCACTTGACCGGGTCAAGTGCCGAGTGCCTTCTTTCGTCCATTCTCACTCCGGCTCTTTTGCAATTAATGCAATTGAACCCTCTATCTCCCCTGCACTCTCTCCCCTCATGCATACCTCCACACTTGTTGCATGCTGGGTCCTGCTTACATATCTTAGAGGTGTGCCCAAAATGACAACATTTGAAACACACCGCTACACTGCTATGCTCCTCCACATATATGTCCGCTAAGTCTAACTCTACAAAGTGGACAGCCGAAAATTCAAATAAAAAAATAGTGAAAAAGATAGACTGAACATCTTGTATTAAGTTTAAAAATTTTTATTACAGAACAGCATAAATACAAAAATGATATTAATGAAAAATAAATATTTTTTATTCTATATCTGATTCATCAGAAGTATCATTGTCGCACTCGAATTCTTCTGATTCATTAGATTCTTCCTCCTTCTCTTCCATTTCGACGATGTCCTGGATTTTCAAAGGAGTTTGATCTCCGATGAAA